CTATAGACAAGACTCCAGTCTGCACTATAGATAAGACTCTAGTCTGGACTATAGAAGAGACTTTAGTCTGACCTATAGACACAGCACTAGTCTGGACTATAGAAAAGGGTCTAGTCTGGTCTATAGACAAGACTCAAGTCTGGTCTATAGACAAGACTCTAGTCTGGTCTATAGACAAGACTCTAGTCTGGTCTATAGACAAGACTCTAGTCTGGTCTATAGACAAGACTCTAGTCTGGTCTATAGACAAGACTCTAGTCTGGTCTATAGACAAGACTCTAGTCTGGTCTATAGACAAGACTCTAGTCTGGTCTATAGACAAGACTCTAGTCTGGTCTATAGACAAGACTCTAGTCTGGTCTATAGACAAGACTCTAGTCTGGTCTATAGACAAGACTCTAGTTTGGTCTATAGACAAGACTCTAGTCTGGTATATAGACAAGACTCTAGTCTGGTATATAGACAAGACTCTAGTCTGGTATATAGACAAGACTCTAGTCTGGTATATAGACAAGACTCTAGTCTGGACTATAAACAAGACACTACTCTGGACTATAAACCAGACTCTACTCTGGCCTATGGACAAGACTTTAGTCTGGACCATAGACAAGACTTTAGTCTGACCTATATACACGGCACTAGTCTGGTCTATAGACAAGACTCTAGACTGGTCTATAGACAAGACTCTAGTCTAGTCTATAGACAAGACTCTAGTCTGGCATATAGACAAGACTCTAGTCTGGCCTATAGACAAGACTCTAGTCTGGCCTATAGACAAGACTCTAGTCTGGCCTATAGACAAGACTCTAGTCTGGCCTATAGACAAGACTCTAGTCTGGCCTATAGACAAGACTCTAGTCTGGCCTATAGACAAGACTCTAGTCTGGCCTATAGACAAGACTCTAGTCTGGCCTATAGACAAGACTCTAGTCTGGCCTATAGACAAGACTCTAGTCTGGCCTATAGACAAGACTTTAGTCTGACCTATAGACACGGCACTAGTCTGGACTATAGAAAAGGCTCTAGTCTGGTCTATAGACAAGACTCTGGACTGGTCTATAGACAAGACTCTAGTCTAGTCTATAGACAAGACTCTAGTCTGGCATATAGACAAGACTCTAGTCTGGCCTATAGACAAGACTCTAGTCTGGCCTATAGACAAGACTCTAGTCTGGCCTATAGACAATACTCTGGTCTGGTCTAAAGACAAGACTCTAGTCTGGTTTATAGACAAAACACTAGTCTGGTTTATAGACAAGACTCTAGTCTATGCAAATCAGCTTTTAAAATTTTTTAAAATTCTTAATATTTTTTTGATGTGTGTTTTGAAGCGATTAAAAAATTAAATTTTAACTTTTTGTTTTTGTTTTTTTTTTTTTCAATATTTTAAATATTTTTCTTTCATTAAATTTTATTTAAGCCAAACATTTCTTTTATAATTTTATTTAAATTTTAATCAAACCTTTTTTATGCCAAATATTAAATTTTGTTTTTAAATTTTTTTTTATATACTTGAGTAAATTTTAAATTATTTTTGATTTTGAGTGGTTTTTTGCTATAATTTAACTGCATTCCAAAATGTAAGTAATAATTTCTTTTTTTTCAAATTTAAGTTATTTTTTTTAATAAATTTTTTAAATATTTTTTTTTTGTTTGGTTTAATGTAATGAAACTCTCTTAATATCTATATTAATAATGTATGTTTCATGCTTAGGACTAATTTTATAATATTTTTTTTTATTAATAATATTTATAATGTATAATATATATATTTTTTAAAGTTTTGGAAATATTTTTTTTTTTTTGTTTAAATTTTTTTTATATAAATTTAAGCCATATAAATAGTTATGTTCACAACACTACATTTATAATTATAAATTTATGTCTTTTTTTTAAGTATTTTTAATTTGTTTATAAAAAATATAAAAAAAATATTAAGAAAAAAAATATTCAAAATTATTTAGCAAATCATTTAGTGTTTTTTTAGAAAATAATTTAGCTTAATTTGATATTAAATTATTAAAAACTATATAAATTATTTGTGTTAGTTTATGTATTTAAATTAAATTAACTATAAAAAAGCCTCTAAGTTTTTTTTTTTTCTATTTTAAGCAACTTATTTTTAATAATTTTATTTTGTTTTAATATGTTTTAGCCTTTCTTTCTGTTTAAGATTTGTTTACCTAGTGTAAACTTTGTTTAACTAATATTGAGTAAAAGTTATTAATTTTATTTAAGTTTTAAATTATATTTGATATATTTGTGTCTTTGGTGGTTTTTATTTTATTATATATGGTTTATTATATATGGTTTTATCAAAAGTTTTATAATAATGGGTTTTAAGTAGAGGGAACAGGTTAAGTAAAATGGTCCGTAGTGTCCTAGGTCTGCTGGGTTTTGTTATGGAGGCCTGAATTTCTTAAAAAGGTTGGAACAGTTCTTGAAATATACTAAAACTGTAATCTGGACTATAGACTAGATTAAAGACTGGACTATAGACTAGATTCTAGTCTGAACTATAGACCAGATTAAAGTCTGAAATATAGAATAGGCACTAGTCTGGACTATAGACTAGACATAAGTCTGGACTATAAACTAGACACTAGTCTGGACTATAATCTAGACTATAGTCTGGAATATAGACTAGACTCTAGTCTTGACTATAGAATAGATTCTTGTCTGAACTATAGAACAGACTCTAGTCTGAACTATAAAATATACTCCAGTTTGGACTATAGACTAGATTAAAGTGTGGACTATAGACTAGACTTATGTCTGGATATAGACTAGACTTATGTCTGGACTATAGACTAGGCACTCGTCTGGACTATAGACTAGATTATAGTCTAGAGTATAGTCTAGACTTAGATCTGGACTTTAGTATAGATAAAATCTGAACTATAGACTAGACTTAAGTCTGGACTATACTATAGACTATATTAAAGTGTGGACTATAGACTGGATTTATGTCTGGATTATAGACTAGATTCTAGTCTGGACTATAGACTAGACTCTCGTCTGGACTATAGACTAGACGCTAGTCTGGACTATAAACTAGACACTTGTCTGGACCAGAGACTAGACTGTCGTCTGGACTATGGACTATACATAGATCTGGACTATAGTCTAGATTAAAATCTGAACTATAGACGAGACACTAGTGTCGACTTTAGACCGGACTCTAGTCTGAACTATAGACTAGACTCTAGTCTGGACTATAGACTATACACTAGTTTGGACTACAGACTAGACTCTAGTCTAGACTACAGACTAGACTCTAGTCTGGAGTATAGACTAGACTCTAGTCTGGACTAAAGTCTAGATTAAAGTCTGAACTATGGACTAGATTAAATTGTGGACTATAGACTAGACTTATGCCTGGGCTATAGACTTATGTCTGGACTATGGACTAGACTCTCGTCTGGACTATAGACTAGACTCTCGTCTGGACTATAGACTAGACTCTAGTCTGGACTATAGACTAGACACTAGTCAGGACTATAAACTAGACACTTGTCTGGGCCATAGACTCTCGTCTGGACTATATAGTATACTAGACTCTAGTCTGGACTATAGTCTAGATTAAAGTGTGAACTATAGACTATAGAACTATAGACACTAGTCTGGACTATAAACTAGACTGTAGTCTGGAATATAGACTAGACTCTAGTCTTGACTATAGAATAGATTCTTGTCTGGACTATAAACTAGTTTCTACTAGTCTGGACTATAGACTAGACAGTAGTCTGGATTATAGACTAGACTCTAATCTGAACTATATACTAGACTAGTGTGGACTACAGATTAGACTCTAATGTTGTCTACAGCCTACTCTCTTGCCTGGTCCACAGACTAGACTCTTGCCTGGTTCATAGACTAAACTCTTGTCGGGTCTATATACTAGACTCTTGTCTGGTTTAGACTATAGTGCGGACTATAGGCTACACTCTAGTTTGGACTAGAATCTGATCTATAAACTTTTAATTGGTTTTTTAGCTAGACTCTAGTTTGGTTTATAGACTAGACTATTATCTGGTGTAGACAATAAACTGTTGGCTAACGTTTAAACTAAATTATTTTCTGGTCTATAGTATAGGCTCTTGCTTGGTCTGTTGTATAGGCTGTTGTTTAGTATGAGCTATAGGCCAGCCTCACGTTTAAAAAAACTTTTAACCCTTTAGCAACATGTTGCTATTTGCTTCAATAACTTGTAGACATGTTAATGTTGATAAAGCTATAAAAATTTCTTGAAAATTTTGAAAGATTTTAAGAAACTTTATGTTAAGTTCTCATGAAAGAAGTGTCCGATTTTAGGTGTTTGATTGTTAGAACTGGTTGGAGAAATCTTGATTGCTTAATGTTTAACAACATGTTGCAATTATTTTATTGTCATTGTAAACATGTTGTTGAAGTTGAAAATGTTTAAATTTTATTGGTTTTAATAAAATTTCTTCAAAATGTCTGAAAAAAAAATCTATTTTCTATAAAATTGAAAAATGTTTACTCTTTACAAAAATTTCTCTTAAATTTGTTGACACAGGCGCTTAAATTTTTTGCAAAAATTTTTGAGCAATTTTGTTTTCAGTCTTCAGTAATTTTAGAAATTTTTTTAAGATTCGTTTTTGGGGAGGAATTTCAAGAAAAATTTTTATAAAGAGAAACAGAAAATAATACAAACCTTTTTTTAAATAAAAAATTTAAAGGAAAACCAAAAAGAAAATAAAACAATTTTTTTAAAATATGGTTTAAATTATCAGTTTTGTTTGTTTAATTAAAGGAAAATATAATAAATCATGTATTTTTTTGTTGTTGTAAACTTAAATTTAATAAATATATAAATAAAATATAATTGTTCGTTATTTAGAAAAAAAATTAAAAAAATAAGAATTTTTCAAATTGAAAAAAATTAAATAAAATTGATATAATACAATTAAAAAGTTAAAGCTTTTGTAAAATATAGTAAATAAAATATTTAATAATTAAATTGAATATTGTATAATACAAAATGAAAGTGATGTTTAAGTGTAAAAAAAAAGAAGAGAAAAAGAGAGGAAGCACTATTTTAAATTAAAATTTAAAGAAAAAAATATTAAAGTAAAAATAAACTTTAGTTAAATCTAGATAAAAGTGACATTTTCTTACAATATAAAGATACTTGAAAGTTGACCTTAAATGTTTATAAACATGTTGCTAGAGATATATTTTCTTAGCAAAAGTCATTCTTTAATCAAAATTATTACCAAAAAAACTTGATAAATTGAAAGCTTATCTTTTTCTCAGCAATTGTTATTCTTAGTCAAAATGTTTATCAACAAGTTGCCATTATAAATGTCTGGCAACATGTTTCTTGCTTTCCTTTTTTTCACTTATCCAAATTATAACTTAAATTATAATAAAAATGACTACCATAAACATCACACATTTCTTTATTTTCTCTTTTATATAAAAAAAGTATACTTTTTGCTTGATTTTTTCTTTCAGTGTAAATATTAATAGGATTCATTTTAATCATTAAAATCATAATTTTAAAAACTTATAATTAATTGCAACTTAGAAAATAATAATAATATTTTTTGAAAATAATGGCAAATTATTTAATGACTTTTTTTTTTGTTAATTTAACTTATTAAAGTTTTTTAAAATGTTTTTTGAAAGATATATATAATGAGATTCCTAAAGTTAAAAATCAAACTCCTGTAAGGGTCCTTGTCCTCGACGTCGTTATCGTATTAGTCATCGTTTAGTTTGTTTGTGTCTTGTTTTTTTAGAAAAATTTATGATTTGTGCTGTGAGTTTTTGTGTTTTAATAAAACTAAACAAAAATATTTGTTCAATAAAGTTATCGGAGGTTGGCGGAGCTAATGATCTTTAGGGGAAAAGAATTTAAATTTTTTCTTCAATATTTTCTATAGAAAACTAGCTTCAAATCGTTAAAAGAAAGTTTCTTCTTTATAAGATTTAACAATGTTTGTTTAGCAACTTGTTTCTTTAGAAATACTTAACAACATGTTGCAGAGTTCTGTCATCAAATTATATACATCATAAGATATAGTTTTAAACAAACTTTTCTTACATATAAAGCAGTTTTCTTTCAAAAAGGGTATTTAAAAATGTTTGGCAACATGAAACAACATACCGTTGAAGAGTTCTAAATCCAATTACAAGTATTAAAAGCTTTCTTAAGTCATTATTGACAAATTTTCAGTAAATTTTGAATGGTTTTCTTAAAAAAATGTCACTTAAAAATGCTTAGCAACATGTTGCAATAGAGAAAGTACACAATTGTTGAGTTCTAAAATCAAATAATAAGTATCAAAAGCTGTTTTGGTCGTTACTGATAAACTTAAAGTCAGTTTCTAACTATTATCCTTTAAAAAAGGAACTTCATTATCTTTAGCAACATGTTGCAATTATCTATATGAAAGAGTATACAGTTGCAGAGTTCTGAATCCAAATTATCAGTATCAAAAGCTTTTCTTAATTGTTACTGACAAACTTAAAGTACATTTCAAACTGTTTTTGTTTAAAAAAGAAACTTCAGTATGGTTAGCAACATGTTGCAAAATTCTGTATGATAGAATATACAGTTGCATAGCTCTGAAAACAACTTATCAGTATCAAAAGCTTTTTTTTAGTCATTATTGACAAACCTTCAATAAATTTTAAACTCGTTTCCTTTTAAAAGTGGACTTCAAAATGTTTAGCAACATGTTGTGGTAACTAATATGATAGAGTATACAGTTGCAGAGCTCTGAAACCAACATAATCAGTATCTAAAGCTTTTTAAAGTTGTTGCAGATAGACTTTAAGTAAATATTAAAATGTTTTTATTTAAAAAAGGACCTTCAATACGTTTAGCTACATGTTGCAATAATCTATATGAAACAGTATGCAGTTGCAGAGTTCTGAAGCCAAATTATCAGTATTAAAAGTTTTTTCAGTCGTTACTAACAATCTTAAAGTTAAATACGAACTATTGTGCTTAAAAGAGCAACTTCAAAGTGTTTAGGAACATCTAGCAATGACGAAATTTACTATTGAGAATCATTAACAGAATTATACTTTAAATATAGGCAGCGTTCTAATACCTTATTATAGATATTTTAAACCTATTTTAGTCTTAGTTATTTTCCCTAAAAATGAAAAAATTAAAGGTATTTTTAAGTTCATTTAAGTCTTAGTACTTTTTCCAAGAAATTAACTTTGAAATCCTTAGCAACATGTTGCCATAATCTAAATTTACTGATTACAATCAAAATTCTGATATTTCAAACTTTAGCAAAGTTTTTCTATTACAAAATTAAAGGTGTTTTAAGTTTATTTTAGTCTTAGTTCTTTTGAATAAAAAGACATTTGAAATGCTTAGCAACATGTTGCCATAATCTAAATTTACTGGTAAGAATCAGAATTCTGATACATTAAACTGTAGCAAAGTTTTTTGTTTATAAAATTAAAGGTTTTGAAAGTTTATTTTAGTCTTAGTTCTTTTGCGTAAAAAGGGCTTTGAAATGCTTAGCAACATGTTGCTGTAATCTTAATTTATTAGTTAGAATCAAAATTCAGATACATTAAACTGTCGAAAAGTTTTTCTATTACAAAATTAAAGGTGTTTTAAGTTCATTTTCGTCCTACTTCTTTTCCCTAAAAAGGTCTTCGAAATACTTAGCAACATGTTGCAATAAACTAAGTTTACTAGTGAAATTCATTTTTATTATGATACAGTAAACAAATGTAAAGATGCTTTACCATATAAAAGGTATTTTTAAGTTTATTTTAGGTAAAGTTCTACCCCTAAAAAGTTCCTTGAAATGCTTAGCAATATTTTACAAACTACGCAACATGTTGAGGATGTTCATAGAGTAATAATTACATACTTTATAGGCTTCTTCTTAAACAGTTGTTAAATGAAGTTTCCAGCTCAACATAATACGAATGTATTAGTTCTGTTTTTCGTTAACAAAATGTTGGTAAACATGTTGCTAACACGGAAATTGACTAAAAATCATTACATTTTAATAATATTGCTAATAGTTCGTTTGTGTAAGTAACACTAATAGATTGTTTTTGAAAAGTTTTGAAATGTTTTTTAAACAGTTTTAATGTTTAAATCATTATTAATCATTAGCAACATGTTGCTTTTACAAATATTTAAATTCTTAACTCCTAAAGATCATTATCCTGCTTCCGATTACAAACTTTAAACAAATTTAATGCTATTTTTTTGTTTCTTGTTTTTATCATTAAATTACTATTATTTTTTTTCTGTGGTGTTTTAATTACTTTTCCTGAATTACTTATTTCATCCCTTCTGTTTTCATTATTTGTTTTTGGTAGTTTCTTAACTTAATTTTTAACCTTTTTGTTTCTGTTGTTGTTGTTTATCTATGTATATATATAATAATATTTACCATCAAAATACACTTATACATTTAAAAAAAATTATTCTTTGTTTAAATATGTTGTTTTTCTTAAAAATGCATAAATTACTTTTTCGTTAAATGTTGTTCTTATTCTTTAGCTTTCGCACAATTTCAGAAGCACCAAAAAAACCTTAAAATATTTTCATTTTATTCGGGAAAATATTTTGGTTTTTTTCTTACAAGACTTCTAGTTTTAGAAGTTTTCTGGTTTCATTCCTCAAGTTGTTGTTGGTTTTTTTCAGAGTGTAGGATTTTTAAGGGAGAGAAAAAAACTTGGTTTGGTTTTTTTAAAGTTATAAATGACTTAATATTAAATAGTTTTTGTTCGTATTTAATTCACTCAATATTTTTGTGTTGTTTTGTTATAAACATTTTTGCAAAAATGTTTCCTTCTCAATTATGAGTGATTATGTTGTTTTGAATTTAAATTTGTCGTTTTGTTATGACATTTGCTTGGTTGTTGTTGTTGTTCACAAATTTACAAATTACACTGCCATAGTATCGTAGGCTGTGAATCCTGCGCCACTTTGTTGTTGGAGTTGTTTTGGGCCGGCTTCGTTTCTAGTTTGGGATAAGAAGGTGGAGGAATTTGTTATTAATTTATCTTCAATTTTAAGAAAATTAATACATTTAATTGAATATTCACATTATTTTTGGTTAATATTAACTTTAAGGTTTTACAGCTTAGCAAGCAAAACAAGCTTTAATTTACACTATTTGTATTAACTGTAGTTCACTTTTAATGGGTTAAATTGTTTAATTGAAAGTGCCTTACTAGATATCTGATTTTTAAAAATTGCTTAAAAGCTTTCCTTCAAATCAAAAGCTCTCTTATGAACCGAACTAAAATTATACTAAAACAGAACTAGAATAGAACTAGAACAGAACTAGAACAGAACTAGAACAGAACTAGAACAGAAATAGAACAGAACTAGAACAGAACTAGAACAGAACTAGAACAGAACTAGAACAGAACAGAACTAGAACAGAACTAGAACAGAACTAGAACAGAACTAGAACTGAACTAGAACAGAACTAGAACAGAACTAGAACAGAACTAGAACAGAACTAGAACAGAACTAGAACAGAACTAGAACAGAACTAGAACAGAACTAGAACAGAACTAGAACAGAACTAGAACTGAACTAGAACTGAACTAGAACTGAACTAGAACTGAACTAGAACTGAACTAGAACTGAACTAGAACTGAACTAGAACTGAACTAAAACAGAACTAGAACAGAACAGAACAGAACAGAACAGAACAGAACAGAACAGAACTAGAACAGAACTAGAACAGAACTAGAACAGAACTAGAACAGAACGAGAACAGAACGAGAACAGAACTAGAACAGAACTAGAACAGAACTAGAACAGAACTAGAACTGAACTAGAACTGAACTTGAACTGAACTAGAACTGAACTAGAACTGAACTAGAACTGAACTAGAACTGAACTTGAACTGAACTAGAACTGAACTAGAACTGAACTAGAACTGAACTAGAACAGAACTAGAACAGAACTAGAACAGAACTAGAACAGAACTAGAACAGAACAGAACAGAACTAGAACAGAACAGAACTAGAACAGAACTAGAACAGAACTAGAACAGAACTAGAACAGAACTAGAACAGAACTAGAACAGAACTAGAACAGAACTAGAACAGAACTAGAACAGAACTAGAACAGAACTAGAACAGAACTAGAACAGAATTAGAACAGAACTAGAACAGAACTAGAACAGAACTAGAACAGAACTAGAACAGAACTAGAACAGAACTAGAACAGAACTAGAACAGAACTAGAACAGAACTAGAACAGAACTAGAACAGAACTAGAACAGAACTAGAACAGAATTAGAACAGAACTAGAACAGAACTAGAACTGAACTAGAACAGAACTAGAACAGAACTAGAACAGAACTAGAACAGAACTAGAACAGAACTAGAACAGAACTGGAACAGAACTAGAACAGAACTAGAACAGCACTAGAACTGAACTAGAACAGAACTAGAACAGAACTAGAACAGAGCTAGAACAGAACTAGAACAGAACTAGAACAAAACTAGAACAAAACTAGAACAGAACTAGAACAGAACTAGAACAGAACTAGAACAGAACTAGAACAGAACTAGAACTCAGCTAGAACTGTGCAAGAATTAAACATGAACTAATCTAGAACTGAATTGAACAAGAACTCAAAAGCTCAGCATATTTCCTTGAAAAAAAATTATATTGCTAACTTTTCTATTACAAAAGCTCTATCGCTAGCTGAGCAAAAATCCTAAATAGAAAGCTTTATCTCCTATTCAACAGCTTTTCTATATTAAAAGCTAGATCTTTGTCTTTCTTATATAGAAAGCTCCATCGCAAACTTGAATGCTTATAAAAAAGCTTTTTTCCGAATAAGTAACAATTTTTTATTTTTTAAGAAGTTTCCCTAAAAATCTTGTTCTTTGAATGTTTATAATGTTATATAAGAATACTTTTATATATCATCTTAATAAAGTTATGCCCAACATTAATATGCTTTTAAGCTGTAAATAATAGTAATTATTATTGTATTATTTAAATATATGTATTTATTATTAAGTGTATTTTTTGTTTTATAAAACTCTTTTCAAAACTGTGAATTGCTTAAATTAAAACTCAAACTTAAAAGATTAACAAAGAAATTAAAACCAAAAATTTCAAATTTAAAACAAAACTTTAATAAAGAAAGCTTTTATATTCATGCAATAATATTAAAAAAAATAGAATAATTTTAATTGTTAAACAAAACATTTACATGCTGCCATTAAAACCAAAACCAATAATCAAAATAAATTCTACTTACATATACATATTAGTTTAACGCTACTATAATTTTACTCACTACTGTCTACAGACAAACAAACAAAATCAAACGTAATTGTGTTTACAACTTACAAATGTCTTCGACTATTAGAGAGAGTTTTTTGGTTTAAAAATTTTTTAAATTAAGGGGTTCAATAGATTATTTTCAAACGTTAAAATATTTGCAAAGTTAAAGGTGGTTGGGGGAGATTAAAAGGGAATAAAAAGTAGAGAAAAATAAAATAATAAAAATAAGTATAAGATAAATATAATTATATAAAAAGTTAAGTTGATTTGTAGCAAAAATGTTCTTATTACTTAAAGGGCCAGTTTTTTGAAATTTGTATATAGAATAAAAGACTTTTCGAATTATATTCTAAAAAGCTCATTTCAGAAGCATTAACAAAGCTTTGAAGTAATGGATACTTTAGCTTAAATTCAGCTTTAACAATAGTTTTCGTTCGCAGGAATTTCAAAAACTTTTCTACACTTTTCTAGAACTGAACTAAAACTAGAACAGAACTAGAACAGAACTAGAACTAAACTAGAACTGAAATAAAACTGAACTAGAACAGAACATGAACTGAACTAGAAGTGAACTAGAACAGAACTAGAACTGAACTAGAACAGAACTAGAACAGAACTAGAACAGAACTAGAACAGAACTAGAACAGAACTAGAACAGAACTAGGACAGAACTAGAACAGAACTAGAACAGAACTAGAACAGAACTAGAACAGAACTAGAACAGAACTAGAACAGAACTAGAACAGAACTAGAACAGAACTAGAACAGAACTAGAACAACTAGAACAGAACTAGAACAGAACTAGAACAGAACTTGAACAGAACTAGAACAGAACTAGAACTGAACTAGAACTGAACTAGAATTGAACTAGAACAGAACTAGAACAGAACTAGAACAAAACTAGAACAGAACTAGAACAGAACTAGAACAGAACTAGAACAGAACTAGAACAGAACTAGAACAGAACTAGAACAGAACTAGAACAGAACTAGAACAGAACTAGAACAGAACTAGAACAGAACTAGAACAGAACTAAAACAGAACTAGAACAGAACTAGAACAAAACTAGAACAGAACTAGAACTGAGCTGAACTAGAACTGAACTAGAACTGAACTAGAACAGAACTAGAACTGAACTAGAACTGAACTAGAACTGAACTAGAACTAAACTAGAACTGAACTAGAACTGAACTAAAACTGAACTAGAACTGAACTAGAACTGAACTAGAACTGAACTAGAACTGAACTAGAACTGAACTAGAACTGCACTAGAACTGAACTAGAACTGAACTAGAACTGAACTAGAACTGAACTAGAACTGAACTAGAACTGAACTAGAACTGAACTAGAACTGAACTAGAACTGAACTAGAACTGAACTAGAACTGAACTAGAACTGAACTAGAACTGAACTAGAACTGAACTAGAACTGAACTAGAACTGAACTAGAACTGAACTAGAACTGAACTAGAACTGAACTAGAACTGAACTAGAACTGAACTAGAACTGAACTAGAACTGAACTAGAACTGAACTAGAACTGAACTAGAACTGAACTAGAACTGAACTAGAACTGAACTAGAACTGAACTAGAACTGAACTAGAACTGAACTAGAACTGAACTAGAACTGAACTAGAACTGAACTAGAACTGAACTAGAACTGAACTAGAACTGAACTAGAACTGAACTAGAACTGAACTGAACTAGAACTGAACTAGAACTGAACTAGAACTGAACTAGAACTGAACTAGAACTGAACTAGAACTGAACTGAACTGAACTAGAACTGAACTAGAACAGAACTAGAACTGAACTACAACTAGAACTGAACTAGAACTGAATTAGAACTGAACTAGAACTGAACAAGAACTGAACTAGAACTGAACTAGAACTGAACTAGAATTAAGAGAATATAAAGCTTTTTCGCTATCTCAAAAGCTTTTCTATATTGAATGCTCTATGCTAGTTCAAAAGCTAGAACCGGTAAATCTAATGATTGATAAAACGCAAAATGCTTTCGTATATAAAAGGCTTTAAATTGGTTTCAGATGTATTTTTTAGAGCCTGGTCTGAAAGCTCTTAACCTAAAACTGACCCTTTTAATGTTTAGTTTTATAGCTTTAAATATTAGTTTGCAATTTTTATATTTTACTTAATATGCAACTGTTTTTTTTTTTTAATTAAAATTCTGGGTAATATTTTGAATATTTTTTTTATATGTTTAACCTTTTGATGTACTTTACCTTTCGATTAATTTACGCATCTCTTCAGTGGTACGTTGATCCTTGTGCATAGGGGATCTTTTAACAGCTGTTTAGGTATGTTTTTTGTTTTCGAGATTTTTTTCATAAATTTGTTTGTTTTTTTTTTAGAAATTAGTAAGGCCCAGGTTTAAGATTTATACATTTTGATATTTTTTTAAATATTCCAATAAATATTGAGTAAAAAGAAATGAAAAGAAATAAAAAAATAATAAAAATTAAGAAATTAAACCAAATTATTTTTTTCGATAAATTTATATTAATTTAAAACCTAGAAGTTTTTTTGGAATATTTTGGAATATGTTATGGTTTTTTTCTTTTGGGGGCGGCGAGGTAATGAGAAAAAAAATGTGATAAATATATACAATTGTAAAAATTAAAAATAAATTTTAATAATAAAAATTATTGGCAAATTTAGCTAAGATTTTATATAAAAAAAACATGCATTAATGACATTTAAAAAACTTAAAAAAATATATATATGAAATAAACAAAATTAAATGATGATAAGAAAGCTTTTTTAGCTTTCAAGTATTAATTTGAAAGTTGGTGCCCATTTAATTTTGTTTATAACTGTTTCTTAAAAAAATCATATTGTTTTTTTAGTCACAAATAAACATTGATTCAAATATAATAATTATGTGCATAATGATATTAAAAAATGTGCTTTAAATGAAATTAGTTTTTAAAAAAATATGAACCAAAAAACCATTAATGAAATTGAAAAATTTAAAAAAAATATATAAAAAATAAATTATTTGCAAAACACAGTATGATTTTTATTGATATGATAAAAATTGTTTGATAAAAATGATTTCTGATTTATATACGAATTGTTTAAAGATGAAAACAGTGATTTCAAATGAATGAGAAATCTTGATTATGAGAATGCAGAGAAAAACTATTTTCGATCAAGCTTATGTAAAGCTCTATCGTTAAACCAAAAGCTTTCCTATATAGAATGCTCCATCGTTAGCTCAAAAGCATTCATGTATTCATAAAGTTCTATCTCTAAAGCTTTTCTATGTGGGAAGCAATAATTTAGTTTACCTTTCATTATATAAAGCTCTATCGCCCAAAAGCTTTATTATACATTAAGCTCTATCACTATTGCAATAGATTTTCTATGAAGATGAAGATCGCTATCTCAAAAGCTTTTCTAAAAGTTATGTTGCTAGTTTAAAAGCTTTCCTATATTGAAAGCTTTGTCATTACCTCGAAAGCTCTAACATCAACTCAAAAACTACTTTCTAAACTTTCTATTTATAGAAAAATCTACCACTAATACTTTCCTATACGGAAATCAATTACATTAGTTCAGAAGCCTCTCTCTATATAAAGCTCTGTAAGCCAAAAGCTTTATTAAATATAAAGCTTTATAGCTTTCTCAAAAACTTTTCTATATAGATGTGATAACTCAAACGTTTTCCTATATAGGCAGTTATATCGCTAGCTAAATAGGTTTTCTATATGAAAAGCTATAATTCTAGCTTAAAAGCTTTCCAATATGGAAAGCTATATCGCTAGCTAAAAGGCTTTGCAATATATAAAACTCTATAGATAGTTCTAAAACTTTTCTATTTAGAAAGCTTTATCGTTATCTAAAAAGCTTTCCTATATGAAAAGCTCTATCACTAGCTTAAAAGCTTGTCTATATGAAAAGATCTATCTTTAGCTTAAAAGCTTGTCTATATGAAAAGCTCTATCTATATCTCAAAAACTTTCCTATATACAAAGCTCTATCGCTGATTCTAAAGCTTTTTATATGAAAAATTAGCTAAATAGGTTGTCCTTATGAATAGCTTCATCTCTAGTTTTCCTATATGAAAAGCTCTTTCTCTATCTAAAAAGCTTTGCAATATATAAAACTCTATAGACAGTTCTAAAACTTTTCTATCTAGAAAGCTCTATCGCATTCTTTAATACTATATGAAAAGCTCTATCAGTAGCTTAAAAGTTTGTCTATCTTTAGCTTAAACGCTTGTCTATATGGAAACTTTATCTATAACTCAAAAACTTTCTTATATACAAAGCTCTATCGCTGATTCTAAAGCTTTTTTATATGAAAAGCTTTTGAATATAGAAAAACACTTCATTATTAGCTATCTCATTATCCTTTTTATATTGAGCAGTACAAGTACCTTTTAATACGATCAAACTTTAAAGAAGCTTTCTCTGATGTGTTCAGAATTCATTGTTGATTAAGTTTCTTAAAAAACCCAGAGGTTAGTACTACAAAGTTTCATTAAATCCATGAAAGTTGTTAATATTGAAAAGTTTAAGCTTTTTGATTTCAAACTTATCCCTTATTCTCAGGGTTTTATGATGTTTCTTGAAAGCTATATCGCTTAAATTTTCTAGTAGTTTTTCGAGTAAAGTTCATGTGAATAGTCATGAGCTTGAACTTTGTTTTGGATGGTAAAAGTTTTTTGATTTTGGTGTCAAATTTATTCTCAGAATGAATAATCTTTCAATTTTACATTAAATACAAAAACTTTAAGAAAGTTGTTAATACTCAAAACATTGGCAATTGACCTTCGTAGTAAAAGGATTAATATTTCCCGATTTTAGACTCATATCTACTCTCAGAGTTATTTTTCTTATTTTATTAGAACGTTTGGTTGGATCTTTATTAAAAAACCTAATTTTCAAGAGTATGACCTTTGACCCGATTGGTGAATATTTCAAAATTTCTCCAATCTGAAAGCAATAATTTCATGATCATTTAGATGACTGTATATATGATCAAATTACATGACTGTATAAATATGTATGTATGTACATCGGAAACAATTAAGATGGTTTGTTCTATGAGTGATTTCTGTGTATTTGGAATGTTTTCTGAAGGATTAAATGTCAAATGTTTTGTATTTCTTTACAATTTAGGAAATGTCAAAATGATTAATGACAAATGTTTAAGGGGAGATTTAAATGCTTTTTCCAGTTACACACTCACCATCCTTAGTATCTTCTGTTAAAACATATTTTTTATTATATACAATTTAAAAAAAAATTAATTGCAAGAAGAAAGAAGTCAATAAAAATTTTGAAAATTAAATATAGAATAAGTTAAATTTTTTCAAAATTTTGAAATTTCTAACAATTTTATGAATTTTTTCATAATTAATACACTTTATTTTTCTTAAGATCTAAAATTTTCAATTTCAAATGGGGGGAATTTGAACTTACCGCCATAGTTGCCACGTGGTCCATGATCACGATCACATTCGGCTTCGGAAATTTCGTTACTTTCCTTGGAGTCATTGAATGAAGAATTGCTCATGTCATGATTACGTGGTGGAGGTGGTGGTGGTTCGGGAGAGCCATTGCCAGGATTGCGAGTGGAACCTAAAAAAATACGATTTTTAAAGAAATTGGTTTAAGACCTTTGGATTTAGTCTATAGTCTAGTCTATAGTCTAGTCTAGTCTATAGTCTAGTCTATAGTCTAGTCTATAGTCTAGTCTATAGTCTAGTCTATAGTCTAGTCTATAGTCTAGTCTATAGTCTAGTCTATAGTCTAGTCTATAGTCTAGTCTATAGTCTAGTCTATAGTCTAGTCTATAGTCTAGTCTATAGTCTAGTCTATAGTCTAGTCTATAGTCTAGTCTAGTCTAGTCTATAGTCTAGTCTATAGTCTAGTCTATAGTCTAGTCTATAGTCTAGTCTATAGTCTAGTCTATAGTCTAGTCTATAGTCTAGTCTATAGTCTAGTCTATAGTCTAGTCTATAGTCTAGTCTATAGTCTAGTCTATAGTCTAGTCTATAGTCTAGTCTATAGTCTAGTCTATAGTCTAGTCTATAGTCTAGTCTATAGTCTAGTCTATAGTCTAGTCTATAGTCTAGTCTATAGTCTAGTCTATAGTCTAGTCTATAGTCTAGTCTATAGTCTAGTCTATAGTCTAGTCTATAGTCTAGTCTATATTCTAGTCTATAGTCTAGTCTAGTCTATAGTCTAGTCTATAGTCTAGTCTATAGTCTAGTCTATAGTCTAGTCTAGTCTATAGTCTAGTCTATAGTCTAGTCTATAGTCTAGTCTAGTCTATAGTCTAGTCTAGTCTATAGTCTAGTCTAGTCTATAGTCTAGTCTAGTCTATAGTCTAGTCTATAGTCTAGTCTATAGTCTAGTCTAGTCTATAGTCTAGTCTATAGTCTATAGTCTAGTCTAGTCTATAGTCTAGTCTAGTCTATAGTCTAGTCTATAGTCTAGTCTATAGTCTAGTCTAGTCTATAGTCTAGTCTATAGTCTAGTCTATAGTCTAGTCTAGTCTAGTCTATAGTCTAGTCTATAGTCTAGTCTAGTCTATAGTCTAGTCTATAGTCTAGTCTATAGTCTAGTCTATAGTCTAGTCCAGCGGTTCCCACCGATTTTTACTTCGCGGACCCCTTGAAGAACTTATTTAATTTCGCGGACCCCCATACATATTTTGATATTCTATTGTTCTAAATAATTGTCCATCCGAAAATTGACCTAGTCCATTAATCCCTAGGTCTAATAAATGTAGAGATGTCATATCTATAAAATATTTCCGTACATTGAGAATATATAATATTTCAGATAGGTTTTCAATTGCATGTTTTGAAGATAGAATGACTTCTTTGTTGATATGTTTCATGATGTTTCATTTTATGATCGTGAGATCTTTCATGTTCATTTTTCTTCAAGGTAGGTTTCTTTATCAAATATTGTCACATGTGCTTAAGGAGTCACGCTTCAAAAATTTGTTGCGATTGCAAAGGGTGAACTGAGTAAGTGAGCTAAGTTTTTCGGGAAAATAATATAAGAAAGTTGGACTTCTTCTATGTTGTTGCGGAATGCGTTATCCGCATAATATATGATTTGAACTCTTTGTTAAAGTACTGTGAATTTGGAACTTAAATTTGAATTTTAAAATACCAAAATTATTTTACTTCATGGTTTTTGGCTACATATTTACGCGAAACGCTATGGATTTTCTGATGTTAATTTAATAATATGTATTGGTCGACAAAATCAAGTTAAAATCTGTGTATCACGTCGGATTGGAATATTTATAAAGAGATGCATAAAGAGTCACCTCTGAAAATATATAATTTTAGTCCTTTCAAACAAGAACACTTTTGCTTACAATTTGATAAACTTAAATCTGTAATAAGCTTGTCTTTGAATTGAACTTCATACTCCGGAATACCAGTATCCCTAATTTAATTGTAAGGCAGAGTATTATTTGTCTGAAATAAAAACCATTATTTCAGTACATATACAGGAAATAAAAATTACAAATCACTCAATACTTTACTTTATAAAAGTTATACAATAAATTTGTAGGGCCTAGCTTCTTCCTGATAAACAACCGAAAAAATAAAATTCAAAAAGTCACCAAAAAATTTGGGATTATTGCACAAAAATTGGAGATATTTGTACATACATATAAAAGAATATTAGGGGCTTTTTTTAAACACTGGATTTATTTTGGATTTATTTTATTTCAAGAAAAAAACTATCTTTGGAAGCTGGAATTTAGTTTCGGACATCATTATCTGAAAATACACTCTGTAAGCTAATATAAGGTCAAAGAAAAATTAATTTTAGTGCAAACATGGCGGTTCTGCAGCTAAAAAAAGTAAATCTAATTTGGATTTCTTAAATCCAAAAAAATAGTTAGATTTAGCTAATTTCAATATGGCAATGCTTTGTATTCATAGAATAAAACCAAAATAATTTTAAAATAAACTAATTTGTTTTATTTTGCTATTCACCAATAGATGGCAAATATTTTTTAAAATGTGTAAAAATAGGAAAATAAACAAAATTCCTGTAACTAAAATATTGCACACATGATATTTTAGTGCAAATACCAATTTTTGCAAAAAATTGTTACAAATTTTATGGAAAATTTATGATTTTAATATTAAGTTTTGAAATAACTCCATCTGTTGGTCGCTGCTGACATTATGATTTGAAATTTGTTTAGTCTCGATTTAAACCTTTTGCCTTATCCACCTGGCGTACAGTACCAGAACTAAAATTTAGATTTAATAAATCCAATTGTTTAAAAAATGCTGCTATTGTCTATTCATGTTTTTTTCGTTCGTCTTCGCGGACCCCCTAGGATTTTACTACGGACCACTAGGGGTCCGCGGACCCCCATTTGGGAACCGTTGGTCTAGTCTATAGTCTAGTCTATAGTCTAGTCTATAGTCTAGTCTATAGTCTAGTCTATAATCTAGTCTATAGTCTAGTCTATAGTCTAGTCTATAGTCTAGTCTATAGTCTAGTCTATAGTCTAGTCTATAGTCTAGTCTATAGTCTAGTCTATAGTCTAGTCTATAGTCTAGTCTATAGTCTAGTCTACAGTCTAGTCTATAGTCTAGTCTATAGTCTAGTCTGTGGTCTAGTCTGTGGTCTAGTCTGTGGTCTAGTTTAGAGTCCAGTCTATTGTGTATTCTACTCTAAAGTATAGTCTTTAATAGTCCAGCCTATAGTCTAATCTGTAGTCTGTAGTTTTCGCGTAGTTTTGATACTCACCAACACTACGTCTGCCCATGGAGCCGCGTGAGCCATAATGATCATAAGGTGTGCCATAGGGACCGCCATATTGAGAGCCATATTGATCTTCTTCGGGAGCACAGTTGGCAGGATCATCATATTCGGGACCAGGGCCAGAGTACAAACTACCACCTTGAGAATTAACACGGGTATAACGGCGCTGGAATTAGATAGAAAAATATATGAATAAAAGCTCCTCAGAGATCTCTCTTCTCACTCACATATTGATCTTCTTCAGCACAATTAGCAGGGTCATCATATTCAGGAGCTGGAGTATAAATCGATGATTGACCACCTTGGCTGTTCTTACGAGCATAACGATTAGCACGTGGCATAGATTGAGAACCAGAACGTGAGTGCATGTGTCCAGGATGGCCGGGTGGTCCCATGGTGCCGGCATGACCGGGTGGGGCATGTCCATTTTGGTGGGGGAAGGTTTGGAAGTTCATTGCCTTAGTAGGATCCATTTCTTCACGGAAGCCCAAGAGGTGGAAAGTGGCGTAGGGGCAAATTTCATCTTCCATGCCTTTTTGGTGTTATTTAATTAAAAAATTTAATTGAATTAGTTGCAGCCTAAGATATTTAGTTTAATTCAAGTGTTATATGTAAGTGTCCAGTGTTTAGTGATTTCTTTTTGTTTGAATGTAATGAAGGTGTAAGTGATTGGTGAATTAAAAAGTGATTAGAAAAAAACATGCTCTACTATGTGATTCTACATATAGATTGAAATCGTTACAGTTAAGTTTCAGTTGTAGTTTTGATTACTTACAATTACTGATGTTAAGAACATGATTAGGAACGACCATTAGAGTAAAAAAGTTAGTAAAATTAATTGAAATCATTTAAACATAAAATAAGATAAATTATACAAAAATATAAGATCAAGATCTAAACAGATCTTTTTTCCATATATAGTAAATTTTAAAGTCCTCTTTATTAAATCATATCAAATTTTTAGTTTAACCAAAGATTAGTAATAGGCTTTTAGTAAAAACTTAAATGAAATGATAAAGTTATATCCAATGAACTTAATATAATATACAAAATAATAATAATAAAAAAAATCGGTTTTATTCCGAACCCACCTGGATGTCTATAAGCACATTCATTAACCACATGACTATGACCATAATGATTACCATGAGCTGGTACTGGTGGCGCTTTAAGTTCTTCATATAAATTGGGTCTGCGTGGATCCCAAGTTGAGTGATTTGAACGCATGCCACCACGAGCTGATTAGTTTTTTTTTTTGAAATCATAATTTTTTTACATTTTCCAACATTTAGTGTGTAAAGTGTTTTTGTTGTGTTTTTGGTTTGTTTTAAGTGTTACATACGATATTTACAACATTTATTTTTTAATAATAAAAATAAATTAATTAAAACAAAATCATAACAGCAACCAAAAATTGTGTATATGTGTTTTTTTCGGGACACATAAAATAAGCCAGAGTAATATATGTAAAAAGAAATTAAATATTTATATAATTTTAGAATAAAAAAACATTTAATACGTAAATATATTACTTATAAAAAAACTGGTAAACATTTTCTATAAGAAATGCCAAGGATCTTAGCTAAGCCCCAAACCATTGATTGTAAATTCAAATGATTTGCAACTCAAACTGTTTGATTGTTTTATTTTTTATTTTTATTTTTTTACCAATTTTTTTTGTAATATTTTTAAAACTACTTTAACTTTTAAATCTAAATCTAAATTTTCAACAACATTTATCATAAAAACCAACATGCGAATTAAAAATTTAACAAATTAAAAATATATGCTCAGTTCCAGAGCAGTTCTAGTTCTGTTCTAGTTTTGTTCAAGTTCTGTTCTACTTCTGTTCTAGTTCTGTTCTAGTCCTGTTCTAGTTCTGTTCTAGTTCTGTTCTAGTTCTGTTCTAGTTCTGTTCTAGTTCTGTTCTAGTTCTGTTCTAGTTCTGTTCTAGTTCTGTTCTAGTTCTGTTCTAGTTCTGTTCTAGTTCTGTTCTAGTTCTGTTCTAGTTCTGTTCTAGTTCTGTTCTAGTTCTGTTCTAGTTCTGTTCTAGTTCTGTTCTAGTTCTGTTCTAGTTCTGTTCTAGTTCTGTTCTAGTTCTGTTCTAGTTCTGTTCTAGTTCTGTTCTAGTTCTGTTCTAGTTCTGTTCTAGTTCTGTTCTAGTTCTGTTCTAGTTCTGTTCTAGTTCTGTTCTAGTTCTGTTCTAGTTCTGTTCTAGTTCTGTTCTAGTTCTGTTCTAGTTCTGTTCTAGTTCTGTTCTAGTTCTGTTCTAGTTCTGTTCTAGTTCTGTTCTAGTTCTGTTCTAGTTCTGTTCTAGTTCTGTTCTAGTTCTGTTCTAGTTCTGTTCTAGTTCTGTTCTAGTTCTGTTCTAGTTCTGTTCTAGTTGTCTAGTTCTGGTCTAGTTCTGGTCTAGTTCTGTTCTAGTTCTGTTCTAGTTCTGTTCTAGTTCTGTTCTAGTTCTGTTCTAGTTCTGTTCTAGTTCTGGTCTAGTTCTGTTCTAGTTCTGTTCTAGTTCTGTTCTAGTTCTGTTCTAGTTCTGTTCTAGTTCTGTTCTAGTTCTGTTCTAGTTCTGTTGTAGTTCTGTATTAGTTCTGTTCTTGTTTTGTTCTTGTTTTGTTCTAGTTCAGTTCTACTGCTGTTTTAGTTCTGTTCTAATTTTGCTCTACTGTTTTGTTGTTCTGTTCTGGTTCTGTTCTAGTTCTAGATCTGTTCTACTGCGCATATAATTTTTAAACAAATTAAACGAAAAAGAAAAATAACTATGAATGAAAGTGTATTTTTTAAAAAAGAGACATGTAAAAGAAATTATTAAAAATAAAGCTAAAGCTTTGTACAAAAAATATTTTAAGGATTTCTTAGAAAAAAAAAAACAAATCCTTTTAAATACTATTTTTCTCTTGCAGTAACAAGACTCTCTTTTAGAACTCTGCAATTTTTTCAGAGATTTTGTCTGTACTTGAAGGGGCTTTATAAAAATATTTTGCAACTCAAGAATATTCGAATTCAAAACAAAAAAGTATGTTTTTTGTATGAAAACCGAAACAAAATCAAAGAAACGAAACGAAACAAAAAAAGAATCGAGATGTATTAATAAATGTTGTTTTGGAAAATTTAGATGCTTACTTATAACTGTACCTCGCTTAATCCGATCACAGGTGTTGTAGTTGGAGCCGGGTACGGGAGGCAGCTTACGGTTGGGTGGTGCAATATAGCCCAATTCATCACGCAAGTCGGGACGTCTCTTGTCTAGGGTGGCGCCAGGTCCCATTGTCTGATTATAAACTACATCATCTAGAATTAATACGTGATGTTCCGAAAAACAAAAATGTGTTTTTTAAATACTGAAGATGCTTTTACCAGTGTTAATTTTTTTTTTGTTTAACAAGAATCTCATTTGGAAAACATACTCTAAAAATTCTTTCTTACTTTATTTCTGTTTTAAGTTTAGTAGATTTTTTTTTTAAATTTTATCAGCTTTAAACTGGTGCATTTTAACAATAAACAAATTGTGCCATTTTAATTATTTTTTTTAATTAATTTTGTTTAAATACTTTCAACAAGTCACTCACAATCCAGCCGTACGCAAACTTTTTTACTAAAAGATTTAAAGGTGCTTAAGATTTTTTTTAAATTGAAAACATTTAGCAAATATACCAAACCACTTGTTTTGTTTAGCTTAAAAATATTTTAAAAAAATGAGTTTTAGAAAAAAAGTTAAATGTCTTAAATGAATGATTTGATGTTTGTTTTTTTTTTTTTTTTTTTCTTAAATTTGAAATCTTAAATTAATTTTTGCGATTTTTTTTTCACTTTTAAATTTTTATGAAAAGCATCTTAGTTTTTAATTTCATATAGAGGGGTTATAAAAAAAGGGGAAGAGCAAAGTTTAAAACTAAAAAAAAAGTTTGAATGAAATAGATTTGTAAAACTCAAATATTTGACAGGTTTTAAAAAGAAGAAATTACTCAAAATTAAAAGCAGTTAAAAACAGTGAGGAAAAATACTGCTTAAAAACAAATTATAGTATTTTTTTTTTTACTAGATTTTAGCTTAATTTGGACAAACATATTTACACAATATCGATTTGGGTTACTAGATATTTGTTGGCTCTAAGGGGGGGGGGGGGGGGGGGGGGAGGAAGTAGATTTACTAGGATTGAGTAGTAAAGTAACTTGACAATTAATTCTCTGCTCAATCATTGTAAATTTTAAAAGTGTTTCCAAAAAGAGTTAATTTTATCATCATGTAAGTGATAACTAGAAGCAAATTATCCCATTCGATGCCGATCAAAATCTTTATAAATATGCCGACTATAGCAATTTGCACCAGTTAACAGTGAAATGATAATAAAATCTCTTTGATCACCTTCTTTGGAACCACTTTTGTTTCTATTTTTTTAAATAAAGGTAGTTCGATTAAATATTATATTAAGTTTTACAACATTTATGATACAAGGGAAGTTTAAATATTTACACTTAATACAAATATTCTTAGTACAATTTAAGAGATATATACAGGAGCTATAGGATTTATCGGGGACTTTAAACATTTAAAGTTCAGTTCTAATTCTGTTCTAGTTCACTTCTAGTTCAGTTCTAGTTCAGTTCTAGTTCAGTTCTAGTTCAGTTCTAGTTCAGTTCTAGTTCAGTTCTAGTTCAGTTCTGGGTCAATTCTATTTCAGTTTTAGTTCTGTTCTAGTTCAGTTCTGGGTCAGTTCTGTTTCAGTTTTAGTTCTAGTTCTGTTCTAGTTCTGGTTCTGTTCTAGTTCTGATTCTGTTCTAGTTCTGTTCTAGTTCTAGTTCTGTTCTAGTTCTGTTCTAGTTCTGTTCTAGTTCTGTTCTAGTTCTGTTCTAGTTCTGTTCTAGTTCTGTTCTAGTTCTGTTCTAGTTCTGTTCTAGTTCTGTTCTAGTTCTGTTCTAGTTCTGTTCTAGTTCTGTTCTAGTTCTGTTCTAGTTCTTTAGTTCTGTTCTAGTTCTGTTCTAGTTCTGTTCTAGTTCTGTTCTAGTTCTGTTCTAGTTCTGTTCTAGTTCTGTTCTAGTTCTGTTCTAGTTCTGTTCTAGTTCTGTTCTAGTTCTGTTCTAGTTCTGTTCTAGTTCTGTTCTAGTTCTGTTCTAGTTCTGTTCTAGTTCTGTTCTAGTTCTGTTCTAGTTCTGTTCTAGTTCTGTTCTAGTTCTGTTCTAGTTCTGTTCTAGTTCTGTTCTAGTTCTGTTCTAGTTCTGTTCTAGTTCTGTTCTAGTTCTGTTCTAGTTCTGTTCTAGTTCCGTTCTAGTTCTGTTCCAGTTCTGTTCTAGTTCCGTTCTAGTTCTGTTCTAGTTCTGTTTTAGTTCTGTTCTAGTTCTGTTCTAGTTCTGTTCTAGTTCTTGTCTAGTTCTGTTCTAGTTTTGTTCTAGTTCTGTTCTTGTTCTGTTCTAGTTCTGTTCTTGTTCTGTTCTAGTTGTGTTCTAGTTGTGTTCTAGTTGTGTTCTAGTTGTGTTCTAGTTGTGTTCTAGTTCTGTTCTAGTTCTGTTCTAGTTCTGTTCTAATTCTGTTCTAGTTCTGTTCTAGTTCTGTTTTATTTCTATTCTTGTTCTTTTCTAGTTCTGTTCTCGTTTTGTTCTAGTTCTGTTCTAGTTCTGTTCTAGTTCTGTTCTAGTTCTGTTCTAATTCTGTTCTAGTTCTGTTCTAGTTCTGTTTTATTTCTATTCTTGTTCTTTTCTAGTTCTGTTCTCGTTTTGTTCTAGTTCTGTTTCCATTTTGTTCTAGTTCGGTTCTAGTTCTAGTTGTGGGTTTAGTTCTGTTATAGTCCAGTCCAAGTCCTGCTCTAGTTTGGTCTTCGTTCATGTTTAGGTCTAGTCTGTGTATTTTAAAAAATTATTATATAAGAGATATAGGGTTTCTAATAAGGAATTTTTTTAGTTTAGATTTTGTACCTTGAATATTTGTTTTAATAATTTCTATCGCAAAAACTTTTCACAATTTTGCCAATTAAAATTTTAATGAGATGATTAAGAATATTTTTAAAATGTTAGTTAATAAATAATTACGATTAATATATGGAAACGATTATTGTTTATGATGAAGTTTATAATGAAAGTACGTTCACATTATACAAATATTTTTGACATAATGTGAACATAACTTTTAGAGTTAATGTGTTCGCAGCTAAAAGCACACTTGAGGATATTATGAGGCTGTGAATTTTGATGATATTAATGAAACTGAATTATATTATTTGTTTTAAAATTGTAAATGTTTAGTTAAGTGTTTAAAAAGTTGATTGTGAGGATGATTTTTATAGTAAAAGTGTAAGTTTGGAAATTGTTTAAAAATAAAATCTTTTCTTTTATAGACTGTGTGTGGTATATTTGTGTAATTGAATTGTTGAAGTATTTCTTTTTTTTTAAGTTTAACTAAACATGCTTTATAACACATTGACAAAAAGGGTGTAATTAATAACATTTATTTAAAATTTATAAATAATATATAAGAATAAAAATGTCTAAAAAAACAAACTCAATATTTAATTAATAATGAGTGACCTTTGAAATGAAAAACTTCCGCTGTTAATCCATTACGTTTAACAATTTTTTTTTTGTTATTTTATCGATAAAACAGAAATAAAATAAAAATAAATTAAAAGAAAAATTAGAAAAAAGCTGTAAATATAGATTTTTGGTTTTTAAATTAAGGAAAACTTTAAAGTTGCACTTTCTAGAAGAATATTTTTAAATTTTTCACTTCTAATTCAGTTTTTGTTCGGTTCAAGTTCAGTTCTAGTTCAGTTCTGGTTCAGTTCTAGTTCAGTTCTAGTTCAGTTCTAGTTCATTAGTTCAGTTCTAGTTCAGTTCTAGTTCAGTTCTAGTTCAGTTCTAGTTCAGTTCTAGTTCAGTTCTAGTTCAGTTCTAGTTCTATTCTAGTTCAGTTCTAGTTCAGTTCTAGTTCAGTTTAGTCAGTTCTAGTTCAGTTCTAGTTCAGTTTCTAGTTCAGTTCTAGTTCAGTTCTAGTTCAGTTCTTAGTTTCAGTTCTAGTTCAGTTCTAGTTCAGTTTCTGTTCAGTTCTAGTTCAGTTCTAGTTCAGTTCTAGTTCAGTTCTAGTTCAGTTCTAGTTCAGTTCTAGTTCAGTTCTAGTTCAGTTCTAGTTCAGTTCTATTCATTCTAGTTTCAGTTCTAGTTCAGTTCTAGTTCAGTTCTAGTTCAGTTCTAGTTCAGTTCTAGTTCAGTTCTAGTCAGTTCTAGTTCAGTTCTAGTTCAGTTCTAGTTCAGTTCTAGTTCAGTGTCTAGTTCAGTTCTAGTTCAGTTCTAGTTCAGTTCTAGTTCAGTTCTAGTTCAGTTCTAGTTCAGGTTCTAGTTCAGTTCTAGTTCAGTTCTAGTTCAGTTCTAGTTCAGTTTCTAGTTCAGTTCTAGTTCAGTTCTAGTTCAGTTCTAGTTCTAGTTCAGTTCTAGTTCAGTTCTAGTTCAGTTCTAGTTCAGTTCTAGTTCAGTTCTAGTTCAGTTCTAGTTCAGTTCTAGTTCAGTTCTAGTTCAGTTCTAGTTCAGTTCTAGTTCAGTTCTAGTTCAGTTCTAGTTCAGTTCTAGTTCAGTTCTAGTTCAGTTCTAGTTCAGTTCTAGTTCAGTTCTAGTTCAGTTCTAGTTCAGTTCTAGTTCAGTTCTAGTTCAGTTCTAGTTCTAGTTCAGTTCTAGTTCAGTTCTAGTTCAGTTCTTGTTCAGTTCTAGTTCAGTTCTATTTCATATCAAGTTCAACTCTAGTTCCGTTCTAGTTCAGTTTAAGTTCTGTTCTAGATCAGTTCTAGTTCAGCTCTATTTCCATTCAAGTTCCGTTCTAGTTCTATTTTAGTTCAGTTCTATTTCGTATCAAGTTCAACTCTAGTTCAGTTCTATTTCCATTCTAGTTCCGTTCTGGTTCTGTTTTAGTTTAGTTCTACTTCATATCAAGTTCAACTCTAGTCCAGTTCTAGTTCAGTTCTAGTTCAGTTCTAGTTCAGTTCTAGTTCAGTTCTAGTTCAGTTCTAGTTTAGTTCTAGTTTAGTTTTAGTTTAGTTTTAGTTTAGTTCATGCTTAGTTCTAGTTTACTTTTAGTTCAGTTTTAGTTCAGTTCTAGTTTAGTTCTAGTTTAGTTTTAGTTTAGTTTTTGTTCAGTTCTAGTTTAGTTCTAGTTTAGTTTTAGTTCTAGTTTAGTTCTAATTTAGTTCTAGTTTAGTTCTAGTTTAGTTCTAGTATAGTTTTAGTTCAGTTGTAGTTCAGTTCTAGTTTAGTTCTAGTTCAGATTTAGTTCAGTTCTGTTTTAGTTCAGTTCTAGTTTAGTTCTAGTTTAGTTCTAGTTTAGTTCTAGTTCAGTTCTAGTTCAGTTCTAGTTCAGTTCTAGTTCAGTTCTAGTTCAGTTCTAGTTCAGTTCTAGTTCAGTTCTAGTTCAGTTCTAGTTCAGTTCTAATTCAGTTCTAGTTCAGTTCTAGTTCAGTTCTAGTTCAGTTCTAGTTCAGTTCTAGTTCAGTTCTAGTTCAGTTCTAGTTCAGTTCTAGTTCAGTTCTAGTTCAGTTCTAGTTCAGTTCTAGTTCAGTTCTAGTTCAGTTCTAGTTCAGTTCTAGTTCAGTTCTAGTTCAGTTCTAGTTCAGTTCTAGTTCAGTTCTAGTTCAGTTCTAGTTTAGTTCTAGTTCTGTTTTGGTTCAGTTCTATTTCATATTAAGTTCAACTCTAGTTCGGTTCTATTTCCATTCTAGTTCCGTTCTAGTTCAGTTTTAGTTCAGTTCTAGTTCTGTTTTAGTTCAGTTCTACTTCATATCAAGTTCAACTATAGTTCAATTCTAGTTCCGTACTAGTTCAGTTTTAGTTCAGTTCTAGTTTAGTTCTACTTAGTTTAGTTTTAGTTTAGTTCTGGTTTAGTTCTTGTTTAGTTCTTGTTTAAATCTAGTTTAGTTCTAGTTTAGTTTTAGTTCAGTTGTAGTTCAGTTCTAGTTTAGTTCAGTTATAGTTCTGATTTAGTTCAGTTCTAATTCATAACAAGTTCAACTCTAGTTCAGTTTTAGTTCAGTTTTAGTTGTTGTTTTGTTTTAGTTCAGTTCTATTTCATATTAAGTTTAGTTCTAGTTCCGTTCTAGTTCAGTTTTAGTTCAATTCTAGTTTAGTTATAGTTCAGTTTAAGTTTAGTTCTAGTTCTGTTTTAGTTCTAGTTCTGTTTTACTTCAGTTCTATTTCATATCAAGTTCAACTCTAGTATAGTTCTAGTTCAGTTCTAGTTTAGTTCTAGTTCAGTTCTAGTACAGTACTAGTTCAGTTCTAGTTCAGTTATAGTTCAGTTCTAGTTCAGTTCTAGTTCAGTTCTAGTTCTGTTTTAGTTCAGTTCTAGTTCAGTTCTAGTTCAGTTCTAGTTCAGTTCTTGTTCAGTTCTAGTTCAGTTCTAGTTCAGTTTAGTTCTAGTTCAGTTCTAATTCAGTTCTGTTCAAGTTCAGTTCTGTTCTAGTTCACTTCTAGTTCACTTCTAGTTCTGTTCTAGTTCTGTTCTAGTTCAGTTCCATTATATTTAATTATAAGTATTTGATTTAGACTGAAAAATTCGTCGATTGGTTTTCATAAAATTTTGTTCCCAGTGCAAATTTTCGATTTTCCTTTTTGAGGTTAGTTTATATTTATAACGAAATAAATAAACTAAAACAACTTTTTTGTTGGTTAAATTATAGTTGTTTTTCTTAGTATGTTAAATACTCTTAAGGCATTCATAAATCAACCTACAATACACATCCTTTTGTCCACCGCGTAAATCATCTGAACGACGTCTTGACAAGGCCACACATACCACCAATATACCCACAAAGACCACAATAACAGTGGCAATTAAAGGCACCATAAAGTTCAAATCTAACCATTCTGGCATCCAGGCGGGTAAACGTATGCGTGTATGTAAATTGCCAGAACCTCGGCCATCATCCAAAGGTGCAATGGTGCCTTTTGGTGGGGTAATGGGCGGGTATCGTTATATTGTTGTGGACATACAAACCATTTTGTTATTGGGAGGACATAGACAGTATTTTTGCATGCATATATCGAATTACGAATTTCCGTTAATTCGAATTTTGGTTAATTTTTTTTTATAGTAAACATATAAGCCATATTTTGAACACCATTTAACAAATAAGCAAGCAATTTTTTTGTGTTAAAACAAATTATAAATTAAATAAAATTGAATAAAAAACAGAAGTTGGTTTGTTGGACAGTGAAACCAATTTAAAAATTAACCCAAAATTATATATGAAAAGAGAGAGAGAAAGAAAAACAAAAAAATTTCAGATTAGTTTGGTTGGGTATATACCTTTATGATGATTGCCTTTGCTACGTAGTATACAAATAACAATTATAGCAATAATTATGACGAGTAAAGCAGCTACCACGGGTACAACTAAATTTAAGTTCGATAATATGATGCGAATTGTATCCTCGGCCGTTAGTTCGGGTAAATCGCGCGATGGGGCAATAGTTCCTGTAACAACCAAAATTTTTAACCAACACATCATATATGGCATACAAACACACACACACAAAAAGAGTGAGACAGACAATTAAACAGAGAGAGACAGATAGAGAGAGAAAAAGAGAGCAAATTTTGTTTCGTTTTTTGGTTGGTTTTTACAAAACAAAATAAGGTTTATTTCGTTTTCTTTTTTTAATAAAAATTTTGTGTATTTTTTTTTAACGGAAAATAACTCACTACTAATATTTAAATTATTATTGGAACATTACCTTTGTACCTCTAATATACAAATACACAAACATTTATGGTAAAAATTTTAAAAAAATTTTGAAAAAAATCTTAAATATAAAATTCTTAATATAAGAAAATTTTAAGAAAAAACTCTAAATTTAAAGAACAAGTAACACAACGTAAAAAAGTTTTGTATAAAGTAAAGAAATTTTTTGAAATTTGAGTGATTTTTACACTTATTTTTAGTTAAAAAAGGCTTAAATTCTATTGGTGGGTCTTGGTTAATGCAATTTGTTTTTTTTTTTCTTATATTGATTTAAAATTTTAACTCTAGAACTTCTTTTTAAAGCAATAAGTTTATAATTAGCATGAAAAAAACTTTAACAACATTCCGTTTAACTAAATAGTAGAATAATTAAACATAACACTAATTTGTTGTAAGGTAATATTATTAAAAAAGGCTTAAACACAGTTTAAAGTTAGAATTCAAGGCATACTTTTAGGTTTATGCTATTTTAAATCTTTAAAGCATATTATTAGGCTGCTTATGGTAACAGATGACTTCAGCCATAGAGTATTCTGTTCTATTTCTGTTCTAGTTCTGTTGCAGTTCTGTTCTAGTTCTGTTCTAATTCTATTATAGTTCTGTTCTAGTTCAGTTCAAGTACTGTTCTACTTCTGTTTTAGTTCCATTCTAGTTCTGTTCCAGTTCTGTTCTAGTTATGTTCTAGTTCTGTTCTAGTTCTGTTAAAGTTCTGTTCTAGTTCTGTTAAAGTTCTGTTAAAGTTCTGTTAAAGTTCTGTTCTAGTTCTGTTCTAGTTCTGTTCTAGTTCTGTTCTAGTTCTGTTCTAGTTCTGTTCTAGTTCTGTTCTAGTTCTGTTCTAGTTCTGTTCTAGTTCTGTTCTAGTTCTGTTCTAGTTCTGTTCTAGTTCTGTTCTAGTTCTGTTCTAGTTCTGTTCTAGTTCTGTTCTAGTTCTGTTCTAGTTCTGTTCTAGTTCTGTTCTAGTTCTGTTCTAGTTCTGTTCTAGTTCTGTTCTAGTTTGTTCTAGTTCTAGTTCTGTTCTAGTTCTGTTCTAGTTCTGTTCTAGTTCTGTTCTAGTTCTGTTCTAGTTGTGTTCTAGTTGTGTTCTAGTTATGTTCTAGTTATGTTCTAGTTCTGTTCTAGTTCTGTTCTAGTTATGTTCTGTTCTAGTTCTGTTCTAGTTGTGTTCTAGTTCTGTTCTAATTCTGTTCTAGTTCTGTTCTAGTTCTGTTCTAGTTCTGTTCTAGTTCTGTTCTAGTTCTGTTCTAGTTCTGTTCTAGTTCTGTTCTAGTTCTGTTCTAGTTCTGTTCTAGTTGTGTTCTAGTTATGTTCTAGTTGTGTTCTAGTTGTGTTCTAGTTCTGTTCTAGTTCTGTGCTAGTTTTGTTCTAGTTCAGTTCTAGTTCAGTTCTAGTTCTGTTCTAGTTCTGTTGTAGTTCTGTTATAGTTCTGTTCTAGTTGTGTTCAGTTGTGTTCTAGTTGTGTTCTAGTTCTGTTCTAGTTCTGTTCTAGTTCTGTTCTAGTTCTGTTCTAGTTCTGTTCTAGTTCTGTTCTAGTTCTGTTCTAGTTCTGTTCTAGTTCTGTTCTAGTTTCTGTTCTAGTTCTGTTCTAGTTCTGTTCTAGTTCTGTTCTAGTTCTGTTCTAGTTCTGTTCTAGTTCTGTTCTAGTTCTGTTCTAGTTCTGTTCTAGTTCTGTTCTAGTTCTGTTCTAGTTCTGTTCTAGTTCTGTTCTAGTTCTGTTCTAGTTCTGTTCTAGTTCTGTTCTAGTTCTGTTCTAGTTCTGTTCTAGTTCTGTTCTAGTTCTGTTCTATGTCTGTTCTAGCTCTGTTCTAGTCTGTTCTAGTTCTGTTCTAGTTCTGTTCTAGATTCTGTTCTAGTTCTGTTCTAGTTCTGTTCTAGTTCTGTTCTAGTTTCTGTTCTAGTTCTGTTCTAGTCTGTTCTAGTTCTGTTCTAGTTCTGTTCTAGTTCTGTTCTAGTTCTGTTCTAGTCTGTTCTAGTTCTGTTTCTAGTTCTTTTCTAGTTCTGTTCTAGTTCTGTTCTAGTTCTGTTTCTAGTTCTGTTCTAGTTCTGTTCTAGTTCTGTTCTAGTTCTGTTCTAGTTCTGTTCTAGTTCTGTTCTAGTTCTGTTCTAGATCTGTTCTAGTTCTTTTAGTTCTGTTCTAGTTCTGTTCTAGTTCTGTTTCTAGTTCTGTTCTAGTTCTGTTCTAGTTTCTGTTCTAGTTCTGTTCTAGTTTCAGTTCTAGTTCAGTTTCTAGTTCAGTCTAGTTCAGTTCTATTTCAGTTCTAGTTCAGTTCTAGTTCAGTTCTAGTTCAGTTCTAGTTCATTCTAGTTCAGTTCTAGTTCAGTTCTAGTTCTGCTCTAGTTCTGTTCTATGTCTATACTAGTTCTGTTCTAGTTCTCTTCAAGTTCTGTTGTGGTTCTTTTCTAGATTTGTTCTAGTTCTGTAATAGTTCTATTCTAGTTCAGTTCTATTTCGGTTCTAGTTCAGTGGTAGTTCAGTTCTAGTTCTAGTTCAGTTCTAGTTCGTTCTAGTTCAGTTCTAGTTCAGTTCTAGTTCAGTTCTAGTTCAGTTCTAGTTCAGTTCTAGTTTAGTTCTAGGTCAGTTCTACTTCTAGTTCAGTCCTAGTTGTTCTTCTGAAGCCTTAAAATATGCTTCTGACTTATTCAGTGAAATACAGCCCGAAAGTATTCCACATAGGATCTTTTATCAAATAGTATACTTCCAGGCTGTAATAGCCAAAAGTAAATAGCCTAAAAGTATGCTTTAGTTATAAAAACCCAATTGTGTTGCCTTTTTTGTCTTGATTATTTTAATATTTAATTTAAACTTTAACAAACATAACTGTTAATATATAGATATAAAAAAAATTATATAATAAATATAAATATACTTTTGTCGAAATGAATTTAAATTAAACTATAAAATTTGTTTAATAAAGTAAATTATATAAAACTATTTTTGTAGGTAATAAATGAATTTTGTATTTAGAAAAAAAAAGAAACGAAATAAACTGCATTTTTTCTCATTTCATGTATTTTTATTTATTTGAAAATAATGATGAATATTTCTGATGTTAAATTTTTTGGTTGTTGCAGGTTGTTATAAAAATTGTTTATTATAAACCCCATTGTATGAAATATTTGAATTATAAAATTTTTGAGTTGAATTTTTTGTACTCATTCAATTGTTTTTTCTTTAAGAACTTTGTAATTTTTTTTGTATATAATTTTACTTGAAATTATAAATGATTTTGTTTACATTAGAAAAGGAACTTAAATATGCTTTAACTAAAATTGTTAATGATAAAAATTATATATATGAAAATTAACTAAAAACAAACTAAAAATAGATATGTGTTTAAAAAAGGTGAGGTTATTCAAACCATTAGAGGGAAGGTAGTACTCAGGATTTGTTAACTAGATATCCGGGCATAATATTCTAAATATTTGATTTACATAAAGCGTATAATTTAAATGACATAGTTTTTTATGTTTTTAAAATATTCAAATGCAGGACATTAATAAATAGTAATTCTGGATAATTTGTGGATTTTGATCAGCCAGGAAAACTTAGACTTTCTTATGAATACCAATATTCTCAGACATTTCACTGAATGCTATGAAACTGAATCTTCGGTACTATCAGATGTATAAGTTTCCATCGTTGTAGTTTCAGTTTAGTTCTAGTTCTGTTCTATTGCTGTTATAGTTCTATTCTAGTTCTTTTATAGTTTTGTTCTAGTTCAGTTCTAATTCTATTCCAGTTCAGATCTAGCTCAGTTCTAGTTAAGTTCTAGTTCAGTGCTTGTTCTGCTCTAGTTCAGTTTTCGTTCAGTTCTAATTGAGTTCCATTTTAGCTCTAGTTCAGTTCTACTTTAGTTTTACTTCATTTCTAGTTCAGTTCTAGTTCAGATCTAGTTCTAGTTCGATTCTATTTCTGTTCTAGTCTTGTTCTAGTTCAGTTCTACTTCAGTTCTAGTTTAGTTCTAGTTCATTTCTAGTATAGTTCGAGTTCAGTTCCAATTCTGTTCTATTTCAGTTCTAGTTCAGCTGTAGTTCAGTTCTAGTTCAGTTCTAGTTCAGTTCTAGTTCAGTTCTAGTTCAGTTCTAGTTCAGTTCTAGTTCAGTTCTAGTTCAGTTCTAGTTCAGTTCTAGTTCAGTTCTAGTTCAGTTCTAGTTCAGTTCTAGTTCAGTTCTAGTTCAGTTCTAGTTCAGTTCTAGTTCAGTTCTAGTTCAGTTCTAGTTCAGTTCTAGTTCAGTTAGTTCAGTTCAGTTCTAGTTCAGTTCTAGTTCAGTTCTAGTTCAGTTCTAGTTCAGTTCTAGTTCAGTTCTAGTTCAGTTCTAGTTCAGTTCTAGTTCAGTTCTAGTTCAGTTCTAGTTCAGTTCTAGTTCAGTTCTAGTTCAGTTCTAGTTCAGTTCCAGTTCAGTTCTAGTTCAGTTCTACTTTAGTTTCTTCATTTCTAATTCAGTTCTAGTTCAGTTCTACTTCAGTCTTGTTTAGTTCTAGTTCATTCTAGTTAATTTCTAGTTTAGTTCTAGTTCGGCTGTAGTTCAGCTCTAGTTCAGATCTAGTTCAGTTCTAGTCCAGTTCTAATTTCAGTTCTAGTTCAGTTTTCTAGTTCAGTTTCTAGTTCAGTTCTAGTTCAGTTCTGTTCTAGTCAGTTCTAGTTCAGTTCTAGTTCAGTTCTAGTTCAGTTCTAGTTCAGTTCTAGTTCAGTTCTAGTTCAGTTCTAGTTCAGTTCTAGTTCAGTTCTAGTTCAGTTCTAGTTCAGTTCTAGTTCAGTTCTAGTTCAGTTCTATTCAGTTCTAGTTCAGTTCTAGTTCAGTTCTAGTTCAGTTCTAGTTCAATTCTAGTTCAGTTCAGTTCTAGTTCAGTTCTAGTTCAGTTCTAGTTCAGTTCTAGTTCAGTTCTAGTTCAGTTCTAGTTCAGTTCTAGTTCAGTTCTAGTTCAGTTCTAGTTCAGTTCTAGTTCAGTTCTAGTTCAGTTCTAGTTCAGTTCTAGTTCAGTTCTAGTTTCAGTTCTAGTTCAGTTCTAGTTCAGTTCTAGTTCAGTTTCTAGTTCAGTTCTAGTTCTTCTTTTCAGTTCTAGTTCAGTTCTAGTTCAGTTCTAGTTCAGTTCTAGTTCAGTTCTAGTTCAGTTCTAGTTCAGTTCTTGTTCAGTTCTTGTTCAGTTCTAGTTCAGTTCTAGTTCAGTTCCAGTTCAGTTCCAGTTCTAGTTCAGTTCTAGTTCTAGTTCAGTTCTAGTTCAGTTCTAGTTCAGTTCTAGTTCAGTTCTAGTTCAGTTCTAGTTCAGTTCTAGTTCAGTTCTAGTTCAGTTCTAGTTCAGTTCTAGTTCAGTTCTAGTTCAGTTCTAGTTCTGTTCTAGTTCAGTTCTAGTTCAGTTCTAGTTCAGTTCTAGTTCAGTTCTAGTTCAGTTCTAGTTCAGTTCTAGTTCAGTTCTAGTTCAGTTCTAGTTCAGTTCTAGTTCAGTTCTAGTTCAGTTCTAGTTCAGTTCTAGTTCAGTTCTAGTTCAGTTCTAGTTCAGTTCTAGTTCAGTTCTAGTTCAGTTCTAGTTCAGTTCTAGTTCAGTTCTAGTTCAGTTCTAGTTCAGTTCTAGTTCAGTTCTAGTTCAGTTCTAGTCCAGTTCTAGTTCAGTTCTAGTTCAGTTCTAGTTCAGTTCTAGTTCAGTTCTAGTTCAGTTCTAGTTCAGTTCTAGTTCAGTTCTAGTTCAGTTCTAGTTCAGATCTAGTTCAGTTCTAGTTCAGTTCTAGTTCAGTTCTAGTTCAGTTCTAGTTCAGTTCTAGTTCAGTTCTAGTTCAGTTCTAGTTCAGTTCTAGTTCAGTTCTAGTTCAGTTCTAGTTCAGTTCAGTTCAGTTCAGTTCTATTTTTCAGTTCTAGTTCAGTTCTGTTCAGTTTCTAGTTCAGTTCTAGTTCAGTTCTAGTCAGTTCAAGTTCAGTTCTAGTTCAGTTCTAGTTCAGTTCTAGTTCCGGTTCTAGTTAGTTCAGTTCAGTTCTAGTTCAGTTCTAGTTCAGTTTCTAGTTCAGTTCTAGTTCACGTTCTAGTTCAGTTCTAGTCAGTTCTAGTCAGTTCTAGTTCGTTCTAGTTCAGTCCTAGATTCAGTTCAAGTTAGTTCTAGTATAAGTTCTAGCTCCAGTTATTGTTCATTTCTAGTTCTGTTCTAGTTCAGTCTCAAGTTCTAGTTCACAGTTCTAGTTTAGTTTCTAGTTCTAGTTCAGTTCTATAATTCAGTTCTAGTTCAATTCTAGTTCAGTTCTAGTTGTTATAGTTCAGTCTTAGGTAATTTTTCATCTTGGTTATCTTAAATTCACTTGTTCTATTTAGATTAATATATTTATAGTCAATTTACAATCTAAGTCCTGGCTTTTATGCAAAATTAGTACAACATTTAGCCACATGCTAAACTAGTATATATAGACATCAAAATGCCACAGGGGATTGGGGGTATACATAAATAATAGTATTATATTTGTTTTTTTTCGAACACAAGAATAGACTTGCTAGATTTTCAAGACATTTTTTTTCAAAATTTGAACTGAATCAGTCGAAAATCTAACTAGTCTTTTGACAATTTACATACAGTTACAAACAATGAGTAGAGTTTTCTTCTCTTAAAGGTTTGAATAATTTAAAAACTAAAAAAATAAACATAAAATTTAAACTAAAAACGAAATATAAATAATATTAAAGTTAACAACTACCACTATTTTAATACTAACAAAATTTCTATCAAAAAAACGGTGTTGAAATTTCCAAAAAATAAACAAAATTGTGGATACTATTAAGCAAAATTTAGTTTGTTTAATTTTTTTTCAATACACTACCAAAAATTTTCTTAATATTTTTTTTCTAAATATTTTAGTTTGTTTAAATCAACAGGGGGAGGAAAAAAACAAATTGCATTTACGCAATAGAATTATTTTTTTTTTTTTTAGTTTAGTTTACAAAATTTGTTTTGTTTACACTAGCAGCTAAATAAGTTGAAAATCATAAGTTTTAAATAAAAACAAAATTTACAAAACAAAACCAAAATCATTTACATTAAAGTATTGAAATCAAAAAACTTTTTTACACAAGCTTTTTAAAAAACAAAAAATTTTAAAGTGCTTTTTAAGTTAAAAGAAAATTTTAATAAAAACTTTTATTTTTTAAGAAAAAGCTAAAAAACTGAAAACGTTTTTTTTTTATTTATAATTTTTACATTTAAGCAAGTGTAGCTTTTTTAAACAAAAAACTATATATAATTATTATTTTTTTGTTATTTGTATATTTTTGTTTAAGATTTTTATTTAACCCAGGATATATATCCTCTTTTCTTTTAAGGGCAAATAAAAATCCTAAATATGTACGTAGTTTTGTAGGGTGGTATGTACAAAAGCAATGTTTTTTTTGAAAAAGAAAAATTTTTATAAAAATAAAATTAATTGGCCAACAAGATAAACTTACCGCCAGTAACCGTCAATGTGGCAAAATCATATTCAGCTACAGTAAATCCAGCAGAGTTGTGGGCAGTGATACGTAAATTATACCAGGTGGCAGGTTCTAAATCCAAAACAACATAGTTATTATCGGGCTTAACATTATTCGAAATTTGATTCCATTCAATTTGATCGCTTTAATAGAAATATTTACAACATAAATCAAGTATTTCTGGGGGCGATTATTAACAAATTTAAACAAACCGTTTTTTGTTTTCTACCACAAAGTGAGACATGGGGCAACCGCCATCTTTCCAGGCCTTGAAATGCAATGAAACCGAGTTGGAGGAGACTTCAATGAAACGTGATTTTTCTGGCAGTTTAGGTTTGTAGCCTTTGGTGCGGGTGTTCAAGATATCGGAAGCTTCACCAGCGCCAATGCTAGAGATTTACAAAAGAATTAGTATATAGTGTCAGATATCAAAATTTTATTTCAAATACTTGTTAAATCCGGTAGCATAAACTTGATAACGGGAACCACATAAGAGATTTTCAATAGTGTATTTTTGAGCATCAACCGAAACTTCAGCAGTCTCCCATTCACCGAATTCTGTAAAATATTTAAAAATATAAATCAAATGTCAGGCATCAACACTTTCATGGGCTAGTACTAGAACCGAACTAGCATTGAACTCGAATATAACTAAAACCGAACTAGAACGGAACTAGAACAGAACTAGAACAGAACTAGATCAGAACTAGAACAGAACTAGAACAGAACTAGAACAGAACTAGAACAGAACTAGAACAGAACTAGAACAGAACTAGAACAGAACTAGAACAGAACTAGAACAGAACTAGAACAGAACTAGAACAGAAATAGAACAGAACTAGAACAGAACTAGAACAGAACTAGAACAGAACTAGAACAGAACTAGAACAGAACTAGAACAGAACTAGAACAGAACTAGAACAGAACTAGAACAGAACTAAACAGAACTAGAACAGAACTAGAACAGAACTAGAACAGAACTAGAACAGAACTAGAACAGAACTAGAACAGAACTAGAACAGAACTAGAACAGAACTAGAACAGAACTAAAACAGAACTACAACAGAACTAGAACAAAACGAGAACAGAACTAGAACATAACTAAAACAGAACTAGAACAGAACGAGAACAGAACTAGAATAGAACTAGAACAGAAATAGAACAGAACTAGAACTAAACTAGAACTGAACTAGAACTGAACTAGAACTGAACTAGAACTGAACTAGAACTGAACTAGAACTGAACTAGAACTGAACTAGAATTGAACTAGAACTGAACTAGAACTGAACTAGAACTGAACTAGAACTGAACTAGAACTGAACTAGAACTGAACTGGAACTGAACTAGAACAGAACTAGAACAGAACTAGAACAGAACTAGAACAGAACTAGAACAGAACTAGAACAGAACTAGAACAGAACTAGAACTAGAACAGAACTAGAACAGAGCTAGAACAGAACTAGAACAGAACTAGAACAGAGCTAGAACAGAACTTGAACAGAACTAGAACAGAACTAGAACAGAACTAGAACAGAACTAGAACAGAACTAGAACAGAACTAGAACAGAACTAGAACAGAACTAGAACAGAACTAGAACAGAACTAGAACAGAACTAGAACAGAACTAGAACAGAACTAGAACAGAACTAGAACAGAACTAGAACAGAACTAGAACAGAACTAGAACAGAACTAGAACAGAACTAGAACAGAACTAGAACAGAACTAGAACAGAACTAAAACAGAACTAGAACAGAACTGTAACGGAACTAGAACTGAACTAGAACTGAGCTAGAACTAAACTAGAATGAACTAGAACTGAACCAGAACTGATCTAAAAATAAACTGGAACTGATCAACAAGTAGAGAAGAACTGAACTTGGTTTAACATAATATTTATTTCATTACTTACCTGGTTTGTAGTGTAAAGTATAACCATGTAGAGGAGCAGTATCACCTTCATGAGGCTTCAATTTAACAGTCAAAGAATCGGTGGTAGTAGCAGACAGAGTAACCTGAGGTGACATGGGTGGTGCCAATACGATCAACTTATGTGTAATCGAATCTTTAGCAATTGGGTTCTCAGCATGACAGGTATAATCTCCAGCATCTTGTCTATTCACCGATTTAACTAACAAAGAACCATCGGGTAAAACACGCATACGATCGTTGCCGGTAAATTCAACACCCTTAATTTTCCAGGTTATATCAGGTTGTGGTGAGCCAACAGCGAGACAAGGCATTTTAGCATCTTCCTTAAAGGTGGCAGTGAATGTATCATCGAATGAGGCAATTTTAGCTGGTACTTGATCGCTGGGCATGGCCACAATACTCTTTGAGGGTTGACCTTCACCAATGTTAGTGCTGGCTGTAACCCAGAATTCATAGGGATTGTTCTTTTCCAATTCGGTGGCTTCGTAGCTCATTTGATAGTGGGGTACTTTCTGGCTTTTGGGTTCTCCTTCGGCTCCTTCAACTTTAGTGTAGACAGTGTATTGTTGGATGATGCCGTTGGGTTGTGCTGGTGGACGCCATGATACTAAAATGGCAGCATGACCCATAACGAGAGCCTTAACATCGGTGGGGGCTTCAGGTACTGTTTGGGAGGGATTTTTGCATCATTTATGGATTTGTTTTCCTAATTTTCTATTACTTACCATCTGGTTCAGTTTGGCAGTGTATGGCAGCGCTGCGTACACCATCTCCTCCGGCAGTGGTGGCTAAAACTTGCATGGTATAGTTGGTGTATTTCTTCAAGCCATGTAAAACGGTATCCGAGGAGGCAGTCTTCTTGTAATGGCGTTTGGTTTCATCTTTTGGAAAGAAAACACATAAAATTATTGATATTCGAACCAAACTATTTCTTTAAATTTGCGATACTTACCATACCACTCTTCACTGGGAGCATAGACAACTTTGTAGGTCTTGATAACACCATTGGCCGATTCCAAGGGAGGACTAACCCAACTAACGCGAATTGTCTGAGAAGTTAAGGTAGTGCAAGAGGTATCACTGGGTGGTTGACTGGGTGTGCCTTCAGCGGTGAATTGTTTCTCTTCATCAGACAAGGGACCAGCGCCGATCTTATTGAAAGCCTGGATAACTACAGAGTATTGAGTATAGACGCGTAAGTTATTCAATTCCAAATTATGTTCTTTGCCTTCTTCGGTTACAAAATTAACAGTTTCAAAAACATACGAGGAGTTAGTGTTCGATAGTTTATAGCCGACATAGTAACCCAAAATTTCACCATTCCATTCCGAACGTGCTGGGGGTTTCCAGGTGACACGGAGAGTAGTCTGATTAACAGGTTCAACTTTGATATTTTGGGGCTTGCCAGAGGGAGCTTCTTCGGCGGTGATGATAGTAACAGCTTCGGAAGATTGAGAGGTGCCAATAGTATTTTCAGCCACAATGCGAATGTTGTAAGTAGTAGCAGGGTTCAATTTTTGGACTTGAGCTTCAGTAGTATCACCAGGAACCATAACACGATCAATTTCATCCCAAGAAGCGCGAGAACGTTTGAATTCAATAATATAACGAGTAATAGGAGAATTTCCATCGTAGGGTTGAGCCCAACTCAATTGTACCGAGCGTCCCGATTTGTCCAAAACTTTCAAGGCATAAGGCATTTCGGGTACTTCCTGGATAATCATATTGATACTAGCATCATCAGAACCAAAGGCATTAGTGGCCACACAGGTAAACAAGGCAGAGTCAGAACGTTCGGTACGTTTAATCGAAAGACTAGACATGACACCGGTCGATAAAATTTCTTCGCGAATGGTATAACGATTATCATTCTTGGGGTCCAAACGCATATTATTCATGTTCCATAAAATGCCAATGGGTTTTTCACCTTTAGCTTCACATTGTAAGACGGCAGGTTCACCACGACGAGCAGTTTGGTTGCGCAATTTTTCAGTGAATTCTGGTGGAGCCTGTACACTAACCATTATAACAGCCGAGAGACCAGAGCCAATACCATTAATAGCTTCACACAAATAGTAGCCTTCGTTAGTCTTTTGAATGTTGTCGATGTGTAGGGTGCCTTCTTCAACGCGAATGTTATCGTTTTTCTTCAAATCCTTATATTCACCGGGACTGTTACCTATTCAAAAAAATTTATAATTAAATAAAAAATTGCACTTAAAAGTGTCCTAGCTCCATTTTCTCGATCACCGGTTACAGTTTATCATACAGAAAATGGTTCTTAACTATATATTTTGGTTCCATTAGTACATTTATTAGAACTCTCTAAAATTTTATTTTTTATCCACTTACCCACAGCTTTCTTCCATGTCACTTGTGGCTTGGGGAAACCATCAGCTTTGCATTCAACTTTAGCATCTGATCCTTGAGCGAAAGCCTTATCGGTGGGTTCCAAAATCCATCTTGGTGGTACTGTTTTTGTTTTATTGAGAGTTTTTTAAGTGATAAAAGAAAAAATATGTTAATACAATATTCAATTGTTGTAATTGTTTTAAAATAATTTTTATTTAAGCATGCGGTTTTTTTATATTTTAGACGGACTGACCTGTGGACTGAAAGAAAAAAGGTAAAATAAAACGGTATTTTTAAAGATTAGAGATTTAAAATTATTACCAATAGTCTCGTCTATAGTCTAGTCTACAGTCTAGTCTAGTCTTTAGTTTAGTCTATAGTGTAGTCTATAGTGTAGTCTATAGTCTTGTCTACAGTCTAGTCTTTAGTTTAGTCTATAGTCTAGTCTTTAGTCTAGTCTATAGTCTACAGTACAGTCTATAGTCTAGTCTATAGTCAAGTCTATAGTGTAGTCTATAGTGTGGTCTATAGTGTAGTCTATAGTCTGGTCTATAGTCAAGTCTTGTCTATAGTCTAATCTCTAGTCTATTCTATAGTCTATTCTATAGTGTAGTCTCTAGTCTAGTCTATAGTCTAGTCTAAAGTCTAGTCTATAGTCTAGTCTAAAGTCTAGTCTATAGTCTAGTCTATAGTCTATAGTCTAGTCTATAGTCTAGTCTATAGTCTAGTCTATAGTCTAGTCTATAGTCTAGTCTATAGTCTAGTCTATAGTCTAGTCTATAGTCTAGTCTATAGTCTAGTCTATAGTCTAGTCTATAGTCTAGTCTATAGTCTAGTCTATAGTCTAGTCTATAGTCTAGTCTATAGTCTAGTCTATAGTCTAGTCTATAGTCTAGTCTATAGTCTAGTCTATAGTCTAGTCTATAGTCTAGTCTATAGTCTAGTCTATAGTCTAGTCTATAGTCTAGTCTATAGTCTAGTCTATAGTCTAGTCTATAGTCTAGTCTATAGTCTAGTCTATAGTCTAGTCTATAGTCTAGTCTATAGTCTAGTCTATAGTCTAGTCTATAGTCTAGTCTATAGTCTAGTCTATAGTCTAGTCTATAGTCTAGTCTATAGTCTAGTCTATAGTCTAGTCTATAGTCTAGTCTATAGTCTAGTCTATAGTCTAGTCTATAGTCTAGTCTATAGTCTAGTCTATAGTCTAGTCTATAGTCTAGTCTATAGTCTAGTCTATAGTCTAGTCTATAGTCTAGTCTATAGTCTAGTCTATAGTCTAGTCTATAGTCTAGTCTATAGTCTAGTCTATAGTCTAGTCTATAGTCTAGTCTATAGTCTAGTCTATAGTCTAGTCTATAGTCTAGTCTATAGTCTAGTCTATAGTCTAGTCTAGTCTAGTCTATAGTCTAATCTATAGTCTAGTCTATAGTCTAGTCTATAGTCGAGTCTAGTAGTAGTGTAGTCTATAGTGTAGTCTATAGTCCAGTCTATAGTCCAGTCTATAGTCCAGTCTATAGTCCAGTCTATAGTCTAGTCTATAGTCTAGTCTACAGTCTAGTCTATAGTCTAGTCTATAGTCTAGTCTATAGTCTAGTCTACAGTCTAGTCTATAGTCTAGTCTATAGTCTAGTCTATAGTCTAGTCTATAGTCAAGTCTATAGTCTAGTCTATAGTCTAATCTATAGTCTAGTCTATAGTCTAGTCTATAGTCGAGTCTAGTAGTAGTGTAGTCTATAGTGTAGTCTATAGTCCAGTCTATAGTCCAGTCTATAGTCCAGTCTATAGTCCAGTCTATAGTCTAGTCTATAATCTAGTCTATAGTCTAGTCTATAGTCTAGTCTATAGTCTAGTCTATAGTCTAGTCTATAGTCTAGTCTATAGTCTAGTCTATAGTCTAGTCTATAGTCTAGTCTATAGTCTAGTCTATAGTCTAGTCTATAGTCTAGTCTATAGTCTAGTCTATAGTCTAGTCTATAGTCTAGTCTATAGTCTAGTCTATAGTCTAGTCTATAGTCTAGTCTATAGTCTAGTCTATAGTCTAGTCTATAGTCTAGTCTATAGTCTAGTCTATAGTCTAGTCTATAGTCTAGTCTATAGTCTAGTCTATAGTCTAGTCTATAGTCTAGTCTATAGTCTAGTCTATAGTCTAGTCTATAGTCTAGTCTATAGTCTAGTCTATAGTCTAGTCTATAGTCTAGTCTATAGTCTAGTCTATAGTCTAGTCTATAGTCTAGTCTATAGTCTAGTCTATAGTCTAGTCTATAGTCTAGTCTATAGTCTAGTCTATAGTCTAGTCTATAGTCTAGTCTATAGTCTAGTCTATAGTCTAGTCTATAGTCTAGTCTATAGTCTAGTCTATAGTCTAGTCTATAGTCTAGTCTATAGTCTAGTCTATAGTCTAGTCTATAGTCTAGTCTATAGTCTAGTCTATAGTCTAGTCTATAGTCTAGTCTATAGTCTAGTCTATAGTCTAGTCTATAGTCTAGTCTATAGTCTAGTCTATAGTCTAGTCTATAGTCTAGTCTATAGTCTAGTCTATAGTCTAGTCTATAGTCTAGTCTATAGTCTAGTCTATAGTCTAGTCTATAGTCTAGTCTATAGTCTAGTCTATAGTCTAGTCTATAGTCTAGTCCATAGTCTAGTCTATAGTCTAGTCTATAGTCTAGTCTATAGTCTAGCCTATAGTCTAGTCTATAGTCTAGTCTATAGTCTAGTCTAGTCTAGTCTATAGGTTAGTCTTAGTCTGGTCTAAGTCTAGTCTCTAGTCTAGTCTATGTCTAGTCATAGGCTAGTCTATAGTCTAGTATATAGTCTAGTCATAGTCTACTCTATAGTCATTCTATAGTCTAGTCTATAGTCTAGTCTATAGTCTTAGTCTATAGTCTAGTCTAAGTCTAGTCTATTAGTCTAGTATATAGTCTAGTCTATAGTCTAGTCTATAGTCTAGTCGTAGATAGTCTATAGTCTAGTCTATAGTCTATAGTCTAGTCTATAGTCTAGTATAAGTCTAGTCTATAGTCTCGTCTATAGGTCTAGTCTATAGTGCTAGTCTATAGTCTAGTCTCCTATAGTATAGTCTACATGTCTAAGTCTAGTCTATAGTCTAGTCTATAGTCTAGTCTATAGTCTAGTCTATAGTCTAGTCCTGTAGTCTAGTCTATAGTCTAGTCTATAGTCTAGTCTATAGTCTAGTCTATAGTCTAGTCTATAGTCTAGTCTTTAGTCTAGTCTATAGTCTAGTCTATAGTCAAGTCTATAGTCAAGTCTATAGTGTAGTCTATAGTCTAGTCTATAGTGTAGTCTATAGTCTAGTCTATAGTCTACTAGAATTAAACTAATACTGAACTAGAACTGAACTAGAACTGAACCAGAACTGAACTAGAACTGAACTAGAACTGAACTAGAACTGAACTAGAACTGAACTAGAACTGAACTAGAACTGAACTAGAACTGAACTAGAACTGAACTAGAACTGAACTAGAACTGAACTAGAACTGAACTAGAACTGAACTAGAACTGAACTAGAACTGAACTAGAACTGAACTAGAACTGAACTAGAAATGAACTAGAACTGAACTAGAACTGAACTAGAAATGAACTAGAACTGAACTAGAACTGAACTAGAACTGAACTAGAACTGAACTAGAACTAGAACTGAACTAGAACTGAACTAGACTGAACTAGAACTGAACTAGAACTGAACTAGAACTAGAACTGAACTAGAACTGAACTAGAACTGAACTAGAATTGAACTAGAACTGAACTAGAACTGGAACTAGAACTGAACTAGAACAGATTTCTGCAATTTTTAGCTTATTTTAACTCTTTTTTATTTGAATTAAATGGGAAACAATTTTATTTTACCTTTTATTTCTTTCAAACAAAATAGCATTAACCGTTTGTACAAATGTTCCTTTAGATTTCTCTAAACACAAGTTTGTCGCTTAAGTCTTTTGTTTTTATACAAAGGAATTCATCAAGTAGGTGTCTTAAATCCTTCATTTACTTGATATTATTTAGTTCTTAATTGATTCTTTTGTGTTCATTAACGAAATTATATTGGGATGTGAAATCTTTTATTTTAACACTAGTTTGTTGCTTAAGTCTTTTGTTTTTGTTGAGAGAATTCATTAGGTTTGTAACTTAAGTCGTTGGTTTTAATGCTATTAAGTTTTTTGGACACATATACTTATTAACTAATTCGAAATTATAAAGCCAAACTACAAAAATAAAAAAAGCTTATAAACTAATTTAATTAAAAAACTCAAGCATAAAAGGACAACATAAATGTGTTTGGATGTGTGTAAGTGTTATTGTTTGTGTTAAAAGAAATGAAAAGTTAATGAAATGATAAATATAAGAGTTAAGCATGCAGAGAAAACGAAGTGTTAAAGGGGGTTCTAAAGAAGTAAACTGTTTTTGTTTTATAAAACAATTTTGAACACACCCTTTAACATTGTCTTGAGGAAAACTTACTTCGTTTTATATACAAATTAAAAAAGTTAAAGAAACTTAAAATATAAATGAATCAGGATGAAAGGATATTAAGGTTATGAGGTTTAAGTTTTTAGATGTAAGGAGTGTTAGGACAAGGTTGAGGAGATTTTTTTTTCTTTTGAGGAGTTTCATTTCTTTATATTCTGAACGAGTTTTTGATGTATTTGCAGTTTAAGTCATAAGGCTGCTTTATAATGATTATATATTTGATGTAATATGAAGTTTTTTTTGTTTGTTTAGAGCTATAACGTTGCTTGTTGTTTTTATTTATAATAGTAGTAGTAGTAGTATTAGAAAGTTAATAGATTTATTTTAGTTAAAAAGTCCTGGGTGATTTTTTTTTTTTTTTTTTTGTTTTGTATAAGATTTGCTGCGCACATTTATATATAGATTTTGATAAAATTCATTTACAAGTTGACGACAACATTCATACCATTTGTCAATACAAAAAGAAAAAGAAAAGCTGTTATCTGTTTAAATTTATCATACAAGAAAAAAAAACTATAATAAAAGCTTTAAAATAAAACAAAATTTTAAAACGTAAAAAAAAACAAAATGAAAATTTAAAAGCCTTTTTAATAAAGCCATATCATTTCCTTTATATTTGGGTATAATTTTATTTA